CGTAATACTCTGACTAGCTTTTGGAATGCGTCATTGGCCATCCCAATACGTCTTCGGATCTCAGTGTCGCTCTTGCCGTCCTCTGTCAAAACACTTCCCAGATATTTAAATTTCCGCCCCTGCTTGATTTTAGTGTCCCCGACCTGTATCTCGTAGTAGTTCAGGACTCTTTTCTTTGTTACCAACGAAATCCTCCTGTCTCGTAATACTCTGACTAGCTTTTGGAATTCGTCTTTGGCCATCCCAATACGTCTACGGATCTCTGTGTCGCTCCTGCCGTCCTCTGTCAAAACACTACCCAGATATTTAAATTTCCGCCCCTTCTTGATTTTAGTGTCCCCGACCTGTATCTCGTAGTAGTTCAGGACTCTTTTCTTTGTTACCAACGAAATCCTCCTGTCTCGTAATACTCTGACTAGCTTTTGGAATTCGTCTTTGGCCATCCCAATACGTCTACGGATCTCTGTGTCGCTCCAGCCGTCCTCTGTCAAAACACTACCCAGATATTTAAATTTCCGCCCCTTCTTGATTTTAGTGTCCCCGACCTGAATCTCGTAGTAGTTCAGGACTCTTTTCTTTGTTACCAACGAAATCCTTCTGTCTCGTAATACTCTGACTAGCTTTTGGAATTCGTCTTTGGCCATCCCAATACGTCTACGGATCTCTGTGTCGCTCCTGCCGTCCTCTGTCAAAACACTACCCAGATATTTAAATTTCCGCCCCTTCTTGATTTTAGTGTCCCCGACCTGTATCTCGTAGTAGTTCAGGACTCTTTTCTTTGTTACCAACGAAATCCTCCTGTCTCGTAATACTCTGACTAGCTTTTTGAATTCGTCTTTGGCCATCCCAATACGTCTACGGATCTCTGTGTCGCTCCTGCCGTCCTCTGTCAAAACACTACCCAGATATTTAAATTTCCGCCCCTTCTTGATTTTAGTGTCCCCTGACCTGTATCTCGTAGTAGTTAGTTCAGGACTCTTTGAATTTTCTTTGTTACCAACGAAATCCTCCTGTCTCGTAATACTCTGACTAGCTTTTTTGAATTCGTCTTTGGCCATCCCGAAATACGTCTACGGATCTCAGTGTCGCTCTTGCCGTCCTCTGTCAAAACACTACCCAGATATTTAAATTTCCGCCCCTTCTTGATTTTAGTGTCCCCGACCTGTATCTCGTAGTAGTTCAGGACTCTTTTCTTTGTTACCAACGAAATCCTCCTGTCTCGTAATACTCTGACTAGCTTTTGGAATTCGTCTTTGGCCATCCCAATACGTCTACGGATCTCTGTGTCGCTCCTGCCGTCCTCTGTCAAAACACTACCCAGATATTTAAATTTCCGCCCCTGCTTGATGTTAGTGTCCCTGACCTGTATCTCGTAGTAGTTCAGGACTCTTTTCTTTGTTACCAACGAAATCCTCCTGTCTCGTAATACTCTGACTAGCTTTTTGGAATTCGTCTTTGGCCATCCCAATACGTCTACGGATCTCTGTGTCGCTCCTGCCGTCCTCTGTCAAAAACACTACCCAGATATTTAAATTTCCGCCCCTTCTTGATTTTAGTGTCCCTGACCTGCATCTCGTAGTAGTTCAGGACTCTTTTTCTTTGTTACCAACGAAATCCTCCTGTCTCGTAATACTCTGACTAGCTTTTTTGAATTCGTCTTTGGCCATCCCAATACATCTACGGATCTCTGTGTCGCTCCTGCCGTCCTCTGTCAAAACACTACCCAGATATTTAAATTTCCGCCCTTCTTGATTTTAGTGTCCCTGACCTGTATCTCGTAGTAGTTCAGGACTCTTTTCTTTGTTACCAACGAAATCCTCCTGTCTCGTAATACTCTGACTAGCTTTTTGAATTCGTCTTTGGCCATCCCAATACGTCTACGGATCTCTGTGTCGCTCCTGCCGTCCTCTGTCAAAACACTACCCAGATATTTAAATTACCGCCCCTTCTTGATTTTAGTGTCCCTGACCTGTATCTCGTAGTAGTTCAGGACTCTTTTCTTTGTTACCAACGAAATCCTTCTGTCTCTTTAATACGTCTGACGGAGCTTTTACCCAGAATTCGTCTTGATTTTTGGCCATCCCAATACCAACGTCTACGGATCTCTGTGTCAATACGTCTACGGATCCTGTGTCGCTCCTGCCGTCCTCTGTCAAAACACTTCCCAGATATTTAAACTTCCGCCCCTGCTTGATTTTAGTGTCCCCTGACCTGTATCTCGTAGTAGTTCAGGACTCTTTTCTTTGTTACCAACGAAATCCTCCTGTCTCGTAATACTCTGACTAGCTTTTTGAATTCGTCTTTGGCCATCCCAATACGTCTACGGATCTCTGTGTCGCTCCTGCCGTCCTCTGTTAAAACACTTCCCAGATATTTAAATTTCCGCCCCTGCTTGATTTTAGTGTCCCTGACCTGTATCTCGTAGTAGTTCAGGACTCTTTTCTTTGTTACCAACGAAATCCCCTGTCTCGTCATACTCTGCCTAGCTTTTTGGAATTCGTCTTTGGCCATCCCAATACGTCTTCGGATCTCAGTGTCGCTCTTGCCGTCCTCTGTCAAAACACTTCCCAGATATTTAAATTTCCGCCCCTGCTTGATTTTTAGTGTCCCCTGACCTGTATCTCGTAGTAGTTCAGGACTCTTTTCTTTGTTACCAACGAAAACCTTCTGTCTCGTAATACTCTGACTAGCTTTTGAATTCGTCTTTTGCCATCCCAATACGTCTACGGATCTCTGTGTCGCTCCTGCCGTCCTCTGTCAAAACACTTCCCAGATATTTAAATTTCCGCCCCTTCTTGATTTTTAGTGTCCCTGACCCAGTAGTTCAGGACTCTTTTCTTTTTACCAACGAAATTTCTGTCTCTGTTACTTGAGCCCCTTCTTTTTTATTCGTCTTTGTCCCTACGGACCTGTATCTCTGTCAAAACACTTCCCAGACTTGATTTTTTCCCCGACCTGTATCTTTGTTCAGGACCGACGAAATCCTTCTGTCTCGTAATACTCTGCCTAGCTTTTGGAATTCGTCTTTGGCCATCCCGATACGTCTTCGGATCTCAGTGTCACATTTACCGTCCTTTGCTAGAACGCTTCCCAGATATTTAAACTTCCGCGTCTGCTTGATTCTAGTGTTCCCTACCTGCAAAGTGTATTTCCGGCTCATCCTTTTACTGATTACAAAGCCTAAAATGAATCATGAGTAAAAAGCGGGTCGATAAACGTTTGAACTTCTGAGGTCAGCAGGTAAGAAAAGATATACACTAAATAAATCTGCATGATATATGATTCTTAAAAAAAAAACATTTTTATATTCATTTTTTTATTCCAATTTACGTATATGTATTCTTTTTTTTTACTAATGAGCAACATTTTTCTAATGTCTTTCTGCAGGGCTCACGGATATATCATTTCTGTTAGGAATTAACAGGAATACATTTTCGTTGGAACTCCAGAAAAAAGGATTTTTTTTTTTTTTTTTTTTGCATTTAAAAATATCAAAACAATTTTTTTAATACCTGAACAGTAGCTTGGAGTTCTCATTTTCGTAAGATAAAAAAAGAGTTGCCGTCCTTTGCGGAAAGCTGGGTAGAATGAAAAGAAAATCGTTTGGCCAGCATTTCCCCTTCTTCTTTCCCCACCCAGCAAACGATAACTTTCATCTTGAAAATATGTAGCTCGATGCCAAATTTCAAATACAAAACTGAAGCCTAAAATGCAATATACATGCATAGATAGATAATGAACAGAATGAGATAGATAGATAGATAGATAGATAGATAGATTCACGACATATCAACTGCTTATGGGTCATTTGATGTCGAGATAGATAGATAGATAGATAGATAGATAGATAGATAGATAGATAGATGCATGACATATCAACTCCTTATGGGTCATTTGATGGCGAGATAGATAGATAGATAGATAGATAGATAGATAGATAGATAGATAGATAGATAGATAGATTCGCGACATATCAACTCCTTATGGGTCATTTGATAGATAGATAGATAGATAGATAGATAGATAGATAGATAGATAGATAGATAGATAGATAGATAGATAGGTTCACGGCATATCAACTTCTTATAGGTCATTTCATGCATAGATAGATAGATAGATAGATAGATAGATAATGAACAGAAGGAAGGAAGGAAGGAAGGAAGGAAGGAAGGAAGGAAATAATATTCTCCCCCACCTTCTGTACTATGGTTGATTTTTCTCTACACTTTTATTTTCTCTTGCTTCGAGATTTGCTTTTCTTTTCACTTTACGTCACCGCAGACATTTCCTCTTCGCGTTGAAATCAATATAAGCAAACCAGTTACTAATTTAAAGAACGAAATGCTGAAGCGGTAATAACATTCTTCTAGTTGCCGTCTCCTTTCAGGATGTGCGCGATCATGACTCTCCACAACTTCTATCCTCACTAACTCTTTGCTTTTGTTTCTTACTATTCTTCTTATTCCTTGTTCTGTCATCGATTGACGCAAGCTCATTACTCACTCTTTCCCTCTGTCTCTTTGCCATCAATGCCTTGTGTGTGTCAAATTTCCTAACCCTTCTTTCCTCATCTTGTGCCCTAGAATTTTCAACTGTCTCTTTCTACTTCTAATTACAAGTGTCCGTTTTTTTCTATTTTCTTTAAAACCTCTTCGTTGCTTACACGTTCGCTCCAAAAGGTTGATAAGCCGTAAAAAAAACGAATCAATCGCTAAAGGAAATACTGATTAGCTACAGAGGCTTGTCTTTTAGATTTCTTTACATTCTCTGGAATATAAATGTATAGATATATAGGCAAAAAAGTGAGGGATCAGTTTATATATTGATTGTAATATAGAATTGATCCCCCATTTTATATCCAAATTAAAATTTCTTATAAGTTTATCAGATTCTGATTAGGTATAAACCCCCTCTTCTCTATAACAAGTAATAGGTTAAATAGTAAGAATTGTATCGCTAAAACAATATTACATAAATAAAAGAAAATTCTTACTATCTAAATGTATTTTCTGGATTTAAATAACCTGCAAAGGGTTATAAGACGTAAAAACGAATTAATCAATATCTTATTTCTCTTTTTCCCTTCTTTTCTCTCTATCGTTTCGTCTTACTTTCTCTCTCTCTCTCTCTCTCTCTCTCTCTCTCTCTCTCTCTCTCTTATTTTCCCTGTAAGTTACCGAGTTATCGCGCGGCCTGGGTAAGACGTTGAACTACATCCGCGGCCTGGGTAAAACGATAAACTACATCCGCGTCCTGGGTAAGACGATAAACTACATCCATCAGCAAGGCCTTTGATCAGGAGGTTTTGAGGAGCGTGGAACCACCTCTTAATTGTTAGTGTTCCCGGGTCGACCCTGACCCGGATATAAAGTGGGGGATCAATTCTATATTACAATCAATATATAAACTGATCCCTCACTTTTTGGCCTACATATCTATACATTTACATATCTATACATTTACATTCCAGAGAATGTAAAGAAATCTAAAAGACAAGCCTCTGTAGCTAATCAGTATTTCCTTTAGAGATTGATTCGTTTTTTTGGTTTTTTTTTTTACGGTTTATCAACCTTTTGGAGCGAACGTGTAAGCAACGAAGAGGTTTTAAAGAAAATAGAACAGGGTCACAGCTATGGTCATATAGTTAGAAAAAAGGGATCAAAACACTATGAAAGTATAAAAATAGGTTTTAATATCAGCAATACTTTTTGGGAAAAATTATTACCAGCAATTCATTTTTGAAAAAATATTACCAACGATACATTTTTGAAAAAAAATATTAACAGCAATAAAAATATTGTCGGCATTATATAACCCATTGAGGTTGATATGCCTTAAAACAAAACAAACGAAACCAAACCAAACTGAGTTATCGCTATACACCTGAGGAAGACCGGAGGGCAGAACGCCCGAAACGTTATGATAACAACAAAGGTGAGGACAATAATCCAAATATAAATAGAGTAATTATATCTCTGTCTGTGTGCCTCTCTCTTTCTGGCTACACATTTTCTTTAAATCCATCTCTCTCTCTCTCTCTCTCTCTCTCTCTCTCTCTCTCTCTCTCTATCTATCTATCTATCTATCTCGCTTTCAGGAACACACACAATTTTTTAAAAATCCTGACTCTAATCTGATATTTACTAGAATTAATCTAATGTAACAGAAGATGAATTACAGGAGAGAATTGAAATAAGAAGAACGTGTTACGCCAGTCTTCCAAATGCGGTGGATTTGCCCACCTTGAAAATCAGCATTCAGAATCCTGCTTTTTAATTAGGCATGTACATCGATCACTGGCACTGTAGTCAGATACGCCACAATTTATCCCCATCCACCAGGCGCCTTGAATCCACCTCGCACATCGTTCAATCCAAGCGCACTTACTCTCCCTTCCAGAACGCGACTCTCCGTTCACAGCTAAGACCACATGCTTGATCGCACGGCCTTATACTTTTACTCCGCTGGAAAAACTGAAAAGAATTTCAAGCCTGTTTCTCTCCAAAGAAAAGTATTAAGTAAAACGTTTATAGACGGTTTGTTTCTTTTGAAGCGGCTTCAAACACTTCTATTATTTTGTTAAGTCTTTTTGTGGCCACCAGACCCCCACTTTCCTATCATTCGCTGAGAATGGCTGGTTTGGCATGATGAAAACATTGAGAAACAAATGGTCGGAACTATGAACTGTTTAAGCAAAAAACAGCGAGTAAACATCGTACGAGAAAAATTTAATGAGAAATACACACACACACACACACACACAAATATATATATATATATATATATATATATATATATATATATATATATATATATATGAATAAAAATATACGGAAAAAAACAAACAAAAATCCTTATATACAATTATGCTGTTTTAATGTTAATATGTCAACGTCGGACGTTTCGGTCTAATAAACCATCTTCAGGACATATTCATAAATTATAACATTATCAATACAACATGACAAAGACGATGTACATAAAAACAAGACTTATCCAAACAAATAACTGAAAGTTTTATAAGATCAGCGCTCCGTCTAAAACATGGTCACGTTGTCGTCACGTGGGCGACGCTGTGAAAAGAAGATGGTTTATTAGACCGAAACGTCCGACGTTGACATATTAACATTAAAACAGCATAATTGTATATAAGGATTTTTGTTTGTTTTTTTTCCGTATATATTTTTCTTCATACTGTCAGATCTATATCCATATATTTGCTTATATATATATATATATATATATATATATATGTGTGTGTGTGTGTGTGTGTGTGTGTGTGTGTGTGTGTGATCTCGTTAAATCCGATCGAGCGTATTTGTGTTTGTTCAACACCCACAGAGCCCACCTGCGGTTTATACTGCAACTATGCTGACCAGACCTATGTTACAGTTTCTGGAAGAGACCGTGTTATCCAGCGTGATCAACAAATTGAACAAGGCCAGCACGCTCAAGCCCTCGGCCACGATGACTTGTCACTTCATGCTAGCACAGCTATCGACGGATTCGAAGGGTTCCGTCTACCCAATTTCACTCCCAAGGCTTGTGTCAACCCATGGCACGGTTTTTCGTTTTACCTTTCACCGAGTTTAAATAGATTTACATTACATTATATATATATATATATATATATATATATATATATATATATATATATATATATATATATATATATATTCTACTTTCCATGTGCAAAAGAAAAACGAAAAATGAAACAAACAGCCGAGCGGTTTTGCCCTCAGTCGACAGAGCTGGATCGAGGGATTATATATTGCAAGAAAATAAAACATAGGAACGATATGCAATATCAATGAAGCCGGAATACAATTTAAATTGAAACCACGTTTGGTCCTAACAGATACACCCTCTGTTTACAGAGGGAGGGTTGTCTGGACCGAACCTAAATTCTTTTCAACACCTTTATCTGCAATATAGAGCGAGCATGACTCAAGATGGTAAACGAGACAATGCTAAAGTTAGCGGCACAATTTGGGTTTTTAATAAGATGTTTTGTGATGTAGGATCCATATGTGCTATTTAGAACGTCCTTTATATATATATATATATATATATATATATATATATATATATATATATATATATATATATATATATATATATATATATATATATATATCTTGATCTCTCTTGTTGACTGGTGTTTGTATACATTTCATATACAATACGTTCAAATTTCCCTTCCACTGCCGTGCGCTGATAGCTTAGGCGTAAGATCTCTGACTGATGCCAAATCGGCCGAGTTTCGATCCAGGCTTGAAGCAATCGGACGTTCGGACACACTAATGAGCTGTGATACAGCGGAACCGGTTTGTATGTGGATGACTATATATATATATATATATATATATATATATATATATATATATATATATATTTTTTACAAATAATTAAATAAAATACTAATGTTAATGTGATTAATGGCGGAATCACTTCGCTAACAGGACTTCATGACACAATAACTTACTATCAATTCCTTGAACAATAAAATCCTTATATTCGAGTTGTTGCCAGATGGAAGATACATGTCAAGTACTTTCGACAATATAAAACTGTCATCTTCAGGGCGCAAATTTCCCATATATAGGCAAACACTAAGACGAAATATGTCTAGACCGAAAGATGTTTTTTTGCTATTTAATTCTTTTTATAAATTGTTTCTTTTCATATATATATATATATATATATATATATATATATATATATATATATATATATAGTATTTACATTAGTTGGACTATTTTCCTCATCTTTGTCGCCATATTTGTCACAACGTTTCGGCCGTTGTACGCCCCGGCCTTCTTCAGGTGGTTGGAATTTCGAACTGAACCCTTTATTTCGATCACTGTTCTAGTTCCACGTGCCATGTTTGATGGATGTCAGTTATCAGTTATCTCCTGCTAATTTTCCCTCTGAAAGTTCTCCACTGCCTTAATTGAACTCACCTTCTTTGGGTCTGTCACTGGATCTAACCATCTCCTTTATCCACTGTGCCATGTGTCCTTGAGGACATCGGGTATGAACTTCTGAGTATTATAAACCTAATGCTTTCAGCAACCATTTTTTACCAGTGCTCATATTGCAATTTTGCTTTTATCATTGCATGATCATATTGCAACTTTGTTATCTTTGCTTTTCTCTGGCACTCCTTATTACTGGTTCCCATATTGTATTTATTTCTATGCTTGGTCGGCTCAGGAGATTTTTGTGGCCTAGCATATGTGCTTATTCCTTAAGTTTTCGAATTTTCCAGTGGTGTTCCCTATCTATGATCTCAACATGATCCCACAGGGGACGGTGATCTCCCTACTCTCTCAGTCCACATCGGGGTTGATAAGACAGATGACCTATATTTTCGTCTGCCAAAATAGGTTATTCCCCATATGAGATGATTTAGGATTTTGTTGATTATTAATTATATATATATATTATATATATATGTGTGTGTGTGTGTGTGTGTGTGTGTGTGTGTGTGTGTGTGTGTGTGTTGACAGTTAAGAGTAGCGAGATGGGGGCGATTTTTGAATAAGGTTTTGTATTTTGACCACTAAGTTGCGGATAAACTGTCCAAAATACATTTTTTTTTATCATTTCACCCCAAGCAAGGAAATAAAGCCACTAAGACGCAGAGGGTTACTGATTATGAAAGAGTATGAGGAAAAGAACACATTATGAAGGAGATAGAACAATGAAAGAAGAGGAATTAAAAGAGATGAAGATTGACATTGCATTTAAATTTTTGAAGATCAAATTTGACAGGAAAGCAAGAAGTCGAAAAAAGATCTACAAGTTAAAAGTGAGAGAGGAGAAACTGTTAGCATAGAACTTATGGTTCAATCTAGCCATTTGAACTGTATTTAAACTCATAAACGCATCATACCAAAAAGGAAGTCTTAACATAACAATTATCATAAAAACATTCATCGATATCACAGGGAAACTTCGTTATCTACGTTATTAAGTTTAATCTCTGATAGATAGATAGATAGATAGATAGATAGATAGATATTAACAGAATGAGATAGATAGATAGATAGATAGATAGATAGATAGATAGATAGATAGATAGAGATAGATAGAACAAGCTTAGATAGATAGATAGATAGAGATAGATAGATAGATAGATAGATAGATAGGAATAGATAGATAGATAGATAGATAGAAATATAAAACAATAAGATAGATAGATAGAGATATTGAATATTAAGACAATAAGATAGATAGATAGATAGGAACAAGCTTAGATAGATAGATAGATAGATAGATAGATAGATAGATAGATAGATAGATATTGAATACTAAGACAATAAGATAGATAGATAGATAGATAAATAGATAGATATATTGAATATTAAGACAATAAGATAGATAGATAGATAGATAGATAGATAGATAGATACAAATAGATAGATAGATAGATAGATAGATAGATAGATAGATAGATAGATAGATAGATAGATAGATAGATATTGAATACTAAGACAATAAGATAGATAGATAGATAGATAGATAGATAGATAGATAGAATACTAAGACAATAAGATAGATAGATAGATAGATAGATAGATAGATAGATAGATAGATAGATAGGAACAAGCTTATATAGATAGATGTTGAATAAATATTTACGCATAATTCTATAATATAACATAAAATCTCAGATTTTTCCTACAAATGCCCCTTTTGGTATCGATGAACCGAAAACCTCAATAGTATTATACATTTTCAGATGTTTTGTTGAACTTCTTACATAGATCTTTACCTCCTTCTGGGTTTAGTAACGTTAAAATGCATCATCGTTCATGCGTGTACGCATGCGCGTTCCTTTGATTATGATTTTCACTGAGTCGGTGTTTAACGTTTCCCTTGATTCATTCTGCGTTTAATTCAAATTGTTTGATCTTTAAAAGAAATGTACAAGAATAGATTGTTAATGAAGGGCGCCATCTTGAATCATGAGAATGATGAGTTCGGACAGAGAAAGCGAAATTGAATGTAGATGAATCGGCGGAAGAACAAAAACACTCGGTAAAGAATCTTTCTGAAAAGATTAGGGAGACTGGGGGGTGAAATGATGGCTGATATTAGGAAGAGTGAAATGGAGACAAAGACGATGGATGGAAGGAAGGGATGTGGTAATTTAAAGAAAGAGGGCGATGAACAATAAAGCAAAGGCTGTCAAAGGAAGAAGATAGATAGATAGATAGATAGATAGATAGATAGATAGATAGATGAAACAGACTGAATATTTAAAGACAAAGAAAGAAAGAAAGAAAGAAAGAAAGAAAGAAAGAAAGAAAGAAAATGGAGTCAATAAACGGTACAGAAAATTTAAATAGATAGATAGATAGAAGATAGATAGATAGATAGATAGATAGATAGATAGATAAAGGAAACGGACTGAATATCTAAAGACAAAG